TTTTAAAAAACTCCAACTGGAGTCTTTTGGAACTCATCTTATTGGCTTGGAGTTTGCTTATTCAGAATGTTGTTTATACCTTCCCATATGTCAAAGAATACTAAATATTGTGTTGCAAAGTAATCTTTGACGGAGATTAACAAAGACATCCTTCAAGTACCTATAAAGTGGCGTTACAGTCAGACATGAACAACAAGATCATCATACACAGACAGTAGCCCTAAGTTTATGCAAATTCACATAGGTAAATGCTATGGTGGACTAAAATCTACTTCATTTTAGATAGACTTTCATATAGGGGTGGTAAGCAAATGCTTACTTTCCTACTGAGCATTTTATTGTTTTGCAAAAAAAAAAGAGAAAAAAATGTATATTATGTGGGAAGGTCCACAAAAAAAGGTGTAGACCTTAGTCCCACCAAAGAAGCACTCTACCGGTGGAGAGAGAGAATGAACGAGTGCTACATGGCGAGAGAGAGAGAGAGAGAGAAGATTTAAGGAGAAAAAAAGAAGAGGGGAGAGAGAGGTTTAGAGTGGAGAAGAGAAAGCATACCTGTTTAGTGTGTGGATCACTGCATCCCTAACATCTCCATCTGCCAGTTCAGCTTCAATAAACCTTTTTCCATCCCCATTCAGGAGTGTTATTCACTGCATCCTCAGTTCCTCACCATCCCCATCCTTTTTTTAATTTTTTAAATTACTTTTAAAATATATCATTTAATTTTTTACTTAAACTAAAAAACTAAAATTAAACATCTTATTAATATTTTTAAATTAAAGAGCATAATTTTTTTAATATTAATTTTATAACATTTCATATACTTTTTTTTAACTTAAACTAAAAAGCTTAAATTGAACATTTGATAGGGCGTAATAGAAAAAGGTGCGTTAAAAAAAATCAGACTTGATAGTGTTAAAAAAGTGCAATAGAAAAACTAGACTTATAAAAACTACTCGTCCTCTTGAATTTCATGATCGAAATTCCAAATATGCTCTATCAAATCGGCGCGGAGGTGGAGATGCGTATCCAGATTATGTAACGCCCACCTATTTGACTCTTGTTGTGTCGCATCAACCGGCTCAACATCATCATCAACGTCATTCGGGTCGCACTCGCATATTGCGCGACCTTCGTCTTCAAGTATCATGTTGTGCAATAAGATACAAGCATACATAATGTATCTCAACCTTTTGGGCGTGAATGCACGCGCCGGATTTTGCATAATGTGCCATCGTTGCCTTAGAACACCAAAAAGTCGTTCCACATCTTTTCTTGCCAATTCTTGGCATCTTGCAAATTTTTTCATTTTCTCATCTTCGGGATACGGTATACTTTTCACTATAGTTGCATAGTCAGGGTATATACTGTCAGCAAGATAATACCCGTACTTGTAATCTACCCCCGAAATCCTAAACGAAGAGTCAGGTGCGATACCCTCTATGATGTCAGTGAAAATACCTGAGCGATCAAGAACGTTTAGTTTGTTATTCGATCCAGCAACACCACAAAACGCATGCCAAACCCAAAGATCTTGAGAGGCCACGGCTTCTAGCATTATTGTCGGATGTCCCTGATCACCACGTGTAAATTGACCCCGCCACTTATTAGGACAATTACGCCATGCCCAATGCATACAGTTGATACTGCCTAGCATTCCATGGAATCGGTGTCTTTTTTCATGAGCCGCATATAGTTTTTTGACGTCCCTCCGCGTTGGTCTACGCAAATACCTCTTGCTATATACCTTGATCATGCTCTTAGAAAATTTGTACAAACATTCTCGTGACGTTCTCTCGGACATCCTCAAGTGCTTATCCCATGAATCACTAGAAATGCCACATGCCAATTGTCGAAGTGCCGTTGTGCATTTCTGTAAGGTTGTAAAGCCCTTTTTCATTCTGGCATCCGACTAATGTAAAAAATGGGTTTGTTCTTGCCAAATCATCAGCAATACGAAGAAATAACCGACGACTCATACGAAACTGATGCTTAAACTGTTCGTCGTTGTAGACGGGGTGTTCCGCGAAGTAGTCGAAAACCAACTGTTCATGAGCAGCTACAAATTTATACAAAATAAAAAAAATTAACAATTGCATAAAATATGAATGAATAATTAAAAAAGATTTTAAATATAGATTAAAACTTAAAAGACACAATAACAAAAAAAAGTATACCCTGTCGATCTTGATTTAAAGGTGCATGTCTTCTTCTTGGTTCTGACGTCTGTGTGTTTTCTTCTTCTGCCAAAAGTATTAGTGCTGCCTCCGCCATCAGACTAAAAAAAATTTGTTCGGCTTCGTCGGAAGGTGATGAAGAGGCCATGGCAACAAATAGAGGGTAGGAAGAAAAATTATAGCTAGTATGGAGAGAATTTAAATTTGACAAGGAAAATGAGTATGGAATGGCCGAATGGAGTAGATTTAGGTGTTGTGTAAATAGAGGGTAGAAAGAGAAAAATTAAAATCCGGACCTATAAATCCGGACCTATCGGTCCAAAACTCCAAATAGCCGTTTAGAAGGCTGCCACGTGGCCCCTGATGCCCTTCCTGAGCTCCACCCCAAACGGCCTAACACAATGCTAGAAAAATAGAAGTGTTTTATCCCCCCCCCCAAAAAAAAACAATGATAGGAATGTTAAATTTGGGGCTAGAATACCCCAAAAGAATACCCAACGCTATCCCCAATTGAGATTCCCACTGGCGCAAGGAGTATAAGTTCGGTGCAAAATTCCATTCCTTCCATACTCCATGTTCTTGCGCCTGAAATGTAGAAATACAAACCTCATTGAATCTACAAAAAACAGACAATTCTGGGGGTTGTTTTCTATGGATTCAAATACCAAATCCTTACATTATGTTTGGTTCAAGGAATTTGGTAGCAAAAGAAAAGAAAATGGTTTTCCCTCATTTTCCTCACCAAAATGGGAGGAATTTGGTTTTCCTTCCTCTTATTACATTTTGCCTTCTCTTTTTCTTTTCCTTCCACTTTTCTTTTCTTTTCCTCCCTAACCAAACAAGAAAAATATTTTCCTTCTCATTTTCTTTTCTTTTTCCTCTCAAATTCCTTGAACCAAACATAGTGTAAATGAAAGTTTAACAAGCAATTATCTGCAATTGTTTGTTTTTTATGAGATCCTCTATCCCTTTCATATTTATATCCTTTGGTAAACCAAAATAGAGTAATGCTAAAGTCACAAACAAAACACTCACAAAATACACAAACTTACCATTTGTGTATTTTAGTTTTTATTTTTTAATTATTTGAGACCATTATTTGAATCCATTACTTTACATATTCGGTAAGTTTGTGAATTTTGGAAATGTTTTGTTTGTGACTCTAGCATTAGTCACCAAAATAAGCAACCAACACCTTGAAATACCAGCGTTTTGAGCCAAATTTTAGGGGCTTTGACCGAAGGTTAATCTAAAAACATATTCCAAGATACGAAATTGAGTCTACAAAAAAACAGATAAATTTTCGGCCAATACACAATATACATAGATCCTCACTAAAAGGCCACAACATCTTTTTTTCCTTACCAATTGAGTTCATCCAAAAGAAATTTATGAATGAAAGTTTAACACCAAGGTTTAATATGCAGAGGAATAATTTTTTTTAACCTACTAATACAATCTATACAACAACCATGCATAAATTTGAATCCCTAAAAAATGAACCTTCGGTAAACAAAAAAAAGAGGCAAGAATATGACTACTACTGTAATTCCTAAAAGATACTTCATTGAATCTGCAAAAAACTAAAAAAATCAGCCACAAAGCTATAGCCTTTTACACCTTGATTACCACAGTAATACCCAAAAGAATCATCCCTCAACAGCTAAAGATGGCTGGAGAAAACATTGGATAGAGGACAACCAGTCAACCACAACATTACTATTTGCAGTAATATACTACTATTGTGTTAATCTCTGAAATTCTGGTACAACTGTAATGGCAATTTATGAGCCATACAAATTTTCTTATTTTTTCATACATGGGACGAATATAACTGGCCCCCAAAATTACAGTGTAGTGCAGTAGATTTATTGGAAATTCTGTATCAGTAATTCTTATGAGTAACTTTTTTTTTACCATGTTGGGTTCCACTCTCAACCATTCATGCTAAAAATATCCTATTACATTTCCTCCATTTTACACTACTACTTCCTCTCCCTTACATTTTTAAAACTCTTCCACATCGAAATAAAATGCCTCCTATTAAGATCAAATTGAAGGATCTCTGACCTTCTAATGTACAGGCTCATTTGAAGTTTAGATTAATTGGGTCTTATGACCTAACATCTTACAGAAATGATGGAGAGGTTTATGCTTGAGAATGCATTTTTTCATGGGGTTTTCCTACTAAACATGTTATAAATATCCTATTCCACTTCCTCCATTTTACATTTTTACACTACTACTTTCCCCACTAAATAAAATGCCTCGTATTTGGATTAAAACATACTAAATTATATACCAGTACTAACTTAAACTTCTTTCTTTTCAATTAAAACATACTAAATTACATACCAGTGCACTGCTACCTATTGGGACTTTAATACCTATTTGGATTAAGACTACAGCCTCACTTTGTTCTTTCTAACTAAAACATACTAAATTGTATAACAATACACTGCTGCTTCCCCATTTGTACCAAAGTATTGATTGTGAAAATTTTGATAATGGGTCAATAAAAATTAAAATTTGAATCTTCTGCCAGTATCTATTAACAATGTAANCAGTACTAACTTAAACTTCTTTCTTTTCAATTAAAACATACTAAATTACATACCAGTGCACTGCTACCTATTGGGACTTTAATACCTATTTGGATTAAGACTACAGCCTCACTTTGTTCTTTCTAACTAAAACATACTAAATTGTATAACAATACACTGCTGCTTCCCCATTTGTACCAAAGTATTGATTGTGAAAATTTTGATAATGGGTCAATAAAAATTAAAATTTGAATCTTCTGCCAGTATCTATTAACAATGTAAGTAATTGAAAGGATTGGGCACAAATGGTAATAATGGTACAAGTGTATGTGTGTTCAGTGAACAGATTCGCAGAACTTTGGAGGTTCACAGATTCCATTATCCTATACTGGTTCTGCCACATGAATACTCATTGCACACAATTACTGTAATAAAAATGTAGAAAAATAAACCAAAAATAGATGTTCGGCGTTCATTATACCTGTAATCACCCGCTATAGAAGAACGCCATTATAGTCATAGTAAAACCGGCTGGAAAAAATTAGGGTAGAGAGGTATCAAATCCGGAGCTTGGTTAATGGCGTCTGAAAGAAGAATAGTGAAGGGAGTGGAACTCTGTGGCTAGGACGGATGTGTAAGTTTGGCTGGAGAATGTATTGGAGTGACAAAGAAAGAAATGGGCTGTTATTAAATCATATACCCATTTGTAAAAATCTCGTCCATTCCACCTAGATAAGATTGTAAGTGGTAATTATGGATTAACCTATATGTACCCCGCAGGTTTATACCAATATTTTGTACATTTTGTGTTGGTGTAAAATTAATTTTTATTAACGCACCAACACTTTGTATTCGTGTAAATTTTTGTCAACGCACCAACACTTATGTAGGTATAAACTATCAAAAAAATTGTGCATAATTGTGGTATACAAATGGGATATATTTTTTGATGTAAGTGTAGCATGATCCTTATCATATAATCTTAATTTGGACCAGAGGTTATCTCATTTCTGGTATGCACCAGGAGCTATTACAAATAATAGAACTTCCACAATCCACAATGTCGCTGCTGGATTTCAATCCTAAGATTAACGACTTACATCTTCTCCTTGGACCCATTGTCTATGCGGGCTCGTCATTCTACTCGAGGATGTATATCGTACAACGTAAACCTGGTTGTACTTAGTACTTAGAGTTATTTGATAAAATCTTTTACATGTTTTAACATTGTTATTTGATAAAATCTTCTACATTAACTTTTTTCTACAACACACTTCAGATTTTTTGTTCAAAAAATATAAATTTTAACAAAAAAAACTAATAAAACTAAAAACAAAACCGCAAAAAACCAAATCGACCAGCCAACTATACACTTTTTTTTTACGTAAAATCAAACCAAACCTAAAAATATAATTTCCTTCAATATGGTCTTTGGTTTCGAGTAAACCGAATTAAATTAATGAACTATGTATTCTTGAATGAAATAGCTTGCTTCCCCTTCACCCCGGTTTAAGTGACATTGAATTTTAATATCATAGGATGAGTCGTGGCATTTACGGTGCTCCGTTTAAAAAATTAATGGTTCCTAATTTGACTCCAAAGTCAACTAAATTTTGTGGGGTGCAATTGGAAAGGGTGGGGGGTCGGCTTGGGTCAGTCCGGGGTTGGGGGGTTTACCGAGGGTGTTTGGGGATAGGAAACATCAATTTTTCGAACGAGGCACCGTAGGTGCTCTAATCGAGGCTCATGTCATGACATGAGACACTAATGTGACCCGAACCTACCCCTTGATTCATTCATGTATAACTCCAAATAGATTTGCCCGTAAAGTAAAGTTTCTTGTTTTGTACTTCCATTTTTTTGTGCTGTCTTCAAATTCTAAAACAATAATCATGTTGTATTCACATTTCTCTGCCAAAACAGATGTCACAGGTTGAACTTTGCCTTGTCAATGGTTCAGCCAACTCCAAAATCTGCAACAAGACAACAACGACCAAGGGATTCAGATTAGATCAGAAATTTAAAACAATAGTGCTTCTATGAGATACGGAGTAACAAATTACTGGGATGGTAGAGAACATTACCAAGAAAACAAAAAAAATGCACATTAATTTCACAGATGTTTGGCTCTCCAATCGACTGTTAAAATTTCGTCATCACTGTCGGTGCCACTTGACGACTCTTCTTCGACAGTGGACTCCTTAGTGGTTACAGGAAGAGTAGCTTTGCTACGAAGGGTAGACTTGCCAGCCTTGAGTTCCATCTTTCTCTTCTTCAGCATTTCCACTCTCTCCTTATAAGCCCTGAAGTCATGTGTGAGGGGCAAAAGGGTAAGATTATGTAACAAGAATAATCCCTCCGTCCCGAAATAAATGTCCAGTTTTCCTTATTTGGATGTCCCAGAATAAATGTCACTTTCCTATTTTGAAATGAAATGAGCAGTTCACATAATTTCTCTCCTCTGCATAAACTCCACCATACAATTTCATTTTCTTTTGAACTCCATGAAAGTCAAACTAGGACATTTATTTTGGGACGGAGGGAGTATGGGGGTGAGACAACTTCAGTTCCAAAAGTATATCCCATGTTGCCACGTGTACATTCTAAGTCGGTATATGAGTAAGGTACTAAGGTGAAACTTTTTAATGTTTGATAAATTCAATCAAGGCATAGGCTTTTACAAATTATGTACGTGGACTTTATTATACCTATAACTTATTCAAGTATTGCTTGGAGCACAATTGAATAAAGCCTATTGCCGCTTTGCTTCACAAGAATCTGCTTAAAAACTAAAGTTCAACTTTTAAACCAGACCATACTTGTCCTAATAAGGTGAAGAAATAATTTTTAAAAAATGACTTTTTTGGGACAAAGAGAGTAAATCCATTTCCCACATCACAATGGCCGGGTAAGTGCAAGTGGCAACAATTTAAGTGTTTAATTGAAATACAAGATGGATACAATTCTAATACAATATAGAATAGGAGGTCCCAACCTGAAAAAGTAACGAGGCTTGACAAACAAAGGCTAACTTATTGTCACCAATTTAAATGCTTACCTTTGTTCCACAGTCTCTGCCTCTTCTATCATGTCTGCTGCATCATACTGCAAGATGGAGCACCAAAGGGAGTTAATAAAAATAATAACAGAACTTCTAGCCAAACATTAAAAAAAATGCAGCAATTGAACTGACCTCCTCTTCCTCTAAGCGTTTGTCAACCTGCTGTAAGTCCTCTTGGATCAACTTCTCAAATTCCTTGTACTCGTCTCTGACCATAATTTTTATTTCAGGCAACACCCAAGTACCCAACAACATAATTTATTGGATTCCAAAGACTGATTACATATATGCAGAGTAGTTGCTGCCACAGTAGGCATGACAGAACCATAGTCTTATTTTGTTATTTATTGGTGGGGAATGCCTCGGAGGGATGCTGATCCCCCAAAGTTCCGAACCCTTAACTTTTACTCCCTTTAAGGCTCCGTTTGGAAAGGGGTGAAATGACTTTTGTCCTGAACTCATTTTCCGTTTCCAGTGTTTGGCTAGAAATTTGAAAACTATCTTTACCTGTGCGGCTCATTTCTAGAAAATGAATACCCAGAAAAAAAACGAAGTGCAGCTAGAAGCAATATTCGGTTTTGTCATTTAGGTGCATCGTCGAACAGTTGGGATTCAACAACTAAACATTACAGAACCACAACACAAAATAACAAGGTTTTGAGAGAAAGCTCGCACTCAGACTTGAATGATACGGTCTTTCTTATATCTCTACAACGAAAAATAGGCAAATTTAATCCCACAGAGGCTAAATCAGGAGGAATGAAATTTATACCTTCGAAATGAATTTGGGGTGCTAAATTGCCGATTGTCTGGGTGATGCAGCTGCCTGGAGTTGCTACTGTCTGCAGTTGGTTCCAGAGGATGCAATTTTCGTCCAACTTTTGCGAGAGAGTGGTGAGGATGGAGATGGCGAAGAGTGTATGAGGGATGAGGGATTGGAATGGGGCCGACAGCTATAGGGATGGCGGCAATGGGGAGAGTGAGATGTGAGAGAATGAGGGGAGGGGGAAGAGAAACAGAAAATGTCTTCCGAACAAATTATCCAGAAGACGAATTCCGGATTTGTGCCTTCATTTTCCATTTGAGCAAGGGATGACTTTCCATTTACTTCATTTTCGTGTCTTATTTCCATCATCTCCGATGGAGCCAAAGATTCACAATTTTTTGGTGTTGGGGTCTGATGGAATTAGAATAAGCAAAATAGCTCTTTAAACAGTTTGCACTTCTTTCAATAGTGAAGTAGGAGTTCGTCAATGCAACTTTCGACGCTCATTAGGGGTCATCTAAACACAATAGCTCTATGTTTAAAACATAGGGTCATGCTATGTACATCTAACTCCCCCTTCCCCCGCAATGGACGGGGAGCCTTTGAGGCAGTAGGGTAATGCTGATGTTTTTTTTACATTTTTCTGTCTTGCCAAAACCAGAAAATGAGGAAAATGAGGAAGTCATTTTCAACCTTTACAAATGGAGCCTAAGTTCCCTTCGTTTTCCAAGATATCTTCCCAAGCACATCCCAAAGAGAAAGTTAACATAGAATTCAGATCTGATAGTTGAAGTGAGTATTGCCAATTCATTATGAAGTACTAGATATCATAGTACCTAATATTCACATTTCTACATTTAAATATGTGCACTTGAGAAGGGAAACAGAGAGTAAAATCAAGACATAGAGGAAAACAAGCTAAAGCTTACTTGACATCAAGTTTGACAGGTGTTATACCACGTGCACACAAATCAGCATCTTTGTTATCATAAAATCCTTCAGGAATAAGTCCTTTGGCCTTCCTACTTTCGGTACCAGGAGTCAGCATTGATATTTGTTCCTTGGATGGCCCAGATTCTGAACTCTTTGAGTCAGTGTTTTCATTTCTGATGTCCATTTTGCCCCTTGGTATAGATGGCTGCAATTCTTTAGATTGAACATTGGCTTCAGTATGTTTGAGTTTGTCAAAATCTCTTGATTCAGTGGTAGGAGCTGGCTAAGAGAACAGGAGTCACAGTAACAAAGACTTCAAGAAAAAGATGCATTGGAAACTCGTGGAACGTTTGAGAGATAGGTTTTGGGGGAGGGGGGAATGGAGGATGAGGGGTTATTTTTCAATTTAAGAAAAAAATGATTTGACATGATAATTATTCATTTAATTAGGTTTTGCACTGCAGTGATTTACTAATTTCACAGAGTGCAATGCAGAAATAATGCCATAGAAAGGATGACCTAAGCAATAGGTGCACCAAAACTGTTATATGTTATATGCGCATCAAGCATGTGACTAATTAGAAGATGTTGTCAAAAGTTAAAAGAAGTTTGTCTTCTAAAAAAAGGAGGTATCACTGGAATAAACTCCTAACATACATAAACCTGGTAAAAAGCACAACTTGTCAAACATTCCAAAGCAAAAAAAGATGAATTCATACACATATTTGAATCCCGCAGTCCCGCATATTGTCATTAAAAAATAAATCCATATTAACTCCAGATTATATAAATAGGAAACTTACCACTTTTTTGTTTCTTTGTTTCCTTAATATCAAAAAAGTTAGGAGGAAGGGAAGATGTTTGTCGAGCTTTAGACAGCCCCATAGAAGGTTCGGTTCCTTTACTATGTAAACCTTCAGGATTCTCAAGCTTAGCCCTATGTGAGTCTTTAGGACGCTCAGCATTCGCATTGATAGTTTGCTTAAGTGTGGCAGAATTTGCTTTAAGATTATCGATTGCCTGCACATGCATAAGTGTGTTAAACAAAAATGCAAAGAAAGAGAGAGAAAACATACAAGAAAAAAAAATTGCTATCAATAGAAGATATCAACAATAATTCAATCCTTTAAACCAATGTGAACAAAAAGCAGAAATCCAGGCAAATATTTTATATGGTATTAATGGTTTGCTGTTTTCAGTATTTTGTAGAGTGTAGACCCTTTAACAGAAAAAAAATAAAAATAAAATGTTTTTTAGTGCTGTATCAAAGGCCAACATTATAATGAAAATTTAAAAAAATTGCATTTTGAAGAATCTATAAAAGACAGTGACACTTATTTCTAATGGGCAATGAATAATCCTTCAACAGTTTTAGTTGAATATTACGCATCTCTTAAAAAGTTTTGAAAATTGAATCTAACAACAAAAACACCCAATATAATCCCGCAAAAGTAGGGCTTGGGTAGAGGCAAACCTTACCCCTACTTGGAAGTAGAGAGCCTGTTCCCAAGAGACCCCAGCTCGAGCAACACAAAAAGAACATAGCACGAAAAAGAAGCACAAAGCAAACTAAGAATAAAAGACCAAAGCATACAAAACACACAACGGCAAGAGCAAAAACTACTGCCCAGACCCAAGCGACCAACTAACCTAATCCTAGATCTCTAGATGCTCCTATCTAAGGTCATATCCTTGGTAATGACCAAAAATTGAATTCAAGCTTAAAACAATAGTGAAACCTTATAAAATCTATAAAAGAATTCCCTTCAAGCATATCTTATCTTTCATTCTTACCTTCTATATCCGTTCAAAATTATGTCTTGTTTCCTTTCAAAGAAAAAAATTTGGAGCTGGAATTCAGGAATTGTTTCATGTGGGTGCGCATCTCAATCACAAGCTTTCACTTTCATTTTTAAAAGTAAGAAGTTAAAAGAGTTAAATAAGGTACAGATGGAGTTCCATAGAACCCCCCCCCTCCCCCGGGTGCATCAACTTGATTGTCTAGCTTGGAGCCAGGAGGACCCACGGCTAGCTCCTTAAATAGCACACTACAACCTATTGGAATGGAATTTGCTTACTTTTCAACTGCAACATAACTATTTACTAATGCAGCATACTGATGTTATCCTATTGATCATCATACATCTTCATAATAAAACAAAAAGTTGGCATGTTTGTCAATAATTAGAGACCAACATTTTATGCTTCATGTGAATACTGTAAAAAAAACCTACCATTTTATGTTTGCGAGAAGTTTGGTGAACAGTCCAGTCTGTCTCAGATTTTAGAACAACATCACAAACTCTACAGACAGGTTGATCATGGTCATTGTACCTGTATTGGAAGGAGTGTGCTTTTAAAATATAAAGAGAAAATCAAAAGCTTCTATCTACATTCAGTGCTATGTTTTAGAAATATGAGATGTTCATCTAAACTAACAGAAAGTATATGGTGCATGCTGAACAACACAGTGAAGAAGATACACAAGAAAAAGAGAACTTAGCATTGCAGTCAAAAGCGGTATAGGTAGGTTACAGAAGTTCATGGGTAACTGATGAAAATCACAGAAAATATATTATGATACTTCCAAGCTCTTTTTTATCATGCCCACTTCTACATGTTCAGATCTATCCACTTAGTTAAACTAGCATATAAACAAACTGCCCCAATCCCCATAGCTTGTCACTTTAGCAAATGCATTTTTCTGACAGTTTATAGCAATGCCCTACAAGAGCAAAAGTATAATAGGGCAAATAACCTTTAAAACAAATTGGCGCTATAATCAAGAATGTATAATATGGCAGATCACCTTTAAAAAACAACAGATAAAAGCCATCAAAAGTTACGGATGCTTAGAGTCGCACACTCGCAGGTTGCAAATTCCTCTACGGCTCTACCTCAGGTCCTCTCTATCGAAAATCTCCTATGGTGAGTCGCAAACCTCCTCTGTCCCAATTGCAACCAGAAACAGCGAAGAAGAAATGCCGATGACGATTGACGACCCTAAAACTTCTAGGCGTGTCGAGACTGAGTGACTGGAGAGGACTAATTAAAGTTTTTTTTTGTATTGGGCCTATTTTATTCGATTTGGGTCAACACCGAAATCGAATTTGAATTATGGGATTTCAAATTATAGAACTGAAATTCAAAAATTGAAATGAATTCTCATATCCAAACACTACCTGAATGAATTTTTTGGACTTTTGGTCCCTCCACATACAAATACTTAGAAACCCACATTACTCTCATTGAGACTACACGAACTCTATAAAGAACAAAAACATCCAATAAAACTAAATTGGGCACTAAAATTCGCACATCACGTGAAACATCGCTAGGTGTTTAAAGAAAAGAGAAGGCAATGCACCACGAAGAAGTCAATTGGGATGGATGAAGTACTACGCATTGCCTCTCTACTTTCAAGTAGGGGTACGGTCTACATACACACCCTCCCGAGACCTTACTTCTATGGAATTCTACTGGGTTGTTTTGTTGGTCCATCTATAGAATTTCCAATGTTAGTTTACCAAATGCACAAGCACTGCCTGTGAATCATTCCTCATAATCCATGTTGTTTAGCTACACTAATCACTCTAATCATAAAGTTGGCTTTTTGTCTTCTACTCTTCTGTAGTTCTGTAGTTCAGTGGCTTAAGAAAAAAATTCATTAATTACCTTACAAGAGGATTCTCAATACGCTTTTGGTTCCGCTGTGCTAGTTTGGCCCGGAAGAGTGCTTTCTTATCCGCCATTGCTAAAGTACTCGAAATGCTGCAACTTCACCCCGAAAATCTGAAATCAAAGGCTATGAAATACTGCACCTTCAAAGAACAGGGGCAAAAACAGGATGGGGTCTGAGGCAACCCCACGAATTTTTTCAAATACAATGTCAGATGGAAAAAACAATAATTAATTTTTTAATTTCAAAACTTCTCCATTTGACTAAAAAACAATAAGCCATTAAACTAATTTGGTACTTTATCTTTCTAACCAAAAGTGGAGAAATTTAATACACCGAGTACATCATAACTTAGTTTAGTTATCAAATTTACAATGTTAGACTTTTGAGTTCTTTTTTCGGTTTAAGATTATATTTTTAATAAAAAAATTCCACAATAAACAATTTTATTCAACAATTAACATATATATCAATTTGGGCAAAAATATACTACTTCGTATGAAACTAATAATTTCACAAAAACTATTGACAAATTCATAAACACTCACCATAAAAACTATATGTCGATTAATTAATTAAAAGAACAAAAAAAACTACCGGGAGTTCGAGTTTGAGATAAACAGCTGCTGGACTGGACGCCAACCGCGAACGGACTGGCCGAGCAGTACACTGCTCGAATACACGAAGTAGGCGGAATCACGACGGACTGCGTTGGAGATCAGAAATCAGATACTCCGTAGTTGGTTCCCAGATTGGCTTGGGCGGTACCGTAAGGTATGTAGCTGGCACCAGTACCTTACCAAAATATTTTGTTTAATTTTATTCCGTACAGATTTAGATACCTAAAATCCGAAATATCATAATTCGGGATGGTTCGGTATCGGTTTTGGTACAAATCGAGATGAATATACATACCTACTTTACACCTTAAAATTTAACAATATCCTTTATTTTTGAAAATTAAATGTGAATTTAAATTTAAAAAAACATGAAAAATTTAAAAATATGAGTATTTAAATGCAAGAGAGGCGTATCAAAACTTAGTTTATATTTCACAAACTAAAAAAATGAACAAAACCAAAAGAGTATTTCGAATCTTTGTGAATACTTTTATGTTCATACACAAAAACTTGAACCAATTTTTTAAAAAAATTATTAATTAATGAAGGAATATAAAAATACTACTCCGGGATATTATTTTTATAATATTTTAGTATATATGTTCGGTTCGGGATTTTTTGGTATGGGACGTCACCTCATAGCGTTCCCAAATACTCCCTCCGTCCCGGAGTATTCGTCCACTTTTGACTTTTGGAACTGTTCATCTAAGCACTTTGACTCATCAAATTCTCTCAATGTGTAAGCCTAAATATAGTAATGTGTGATCTTGTTTGATTTGTCTTAAAATATAGATTATTAATATATATTTTCTATAATTTTTTAATATACAAATTACAAGATAAAATGGATTAAAGAAGTGCATTGGATGATGTGTAAAAATGAAAGTGGACAAATACTCTGGGACGGAGGTAGTACCATACCGAACATTCGGTTCGATACAGTTCGATTCTTTCTCGATACTTTTTCGGTTCGGTATTTTTGATTTTTTCGGGAAATTTCGATATCGGTTCGGTTCCTTCTTAGCAGTCCTGATTAGAAGTGTAGTGAACACAATTTTTTAAGTATCAGACGATCATTGTACCAGGCATCCTCCAGAACTTTCATAGGGGTATGATGGGATAGGAGGGGGCTTAACCATGGGAAGCTGGGGGCGGGGAAAATGCTCGCCAATTTCTAATAGACCAAGTCCTCCCTAATTGTTCGAGTTAACAGATCGAGGAGGATTGATTGTCTCTAAGGAAGATGAAGGATTCACCCTAGAAAGGTCTAAGGAAACTGGTTCACTCCCAGACATGGTGGGTAACGATGATGGAGTGGGCTCTAATAAAAAGGGGAAGGAAAAGAAAGACAACAGATGTATAGTGAACGACAACGGAGAAGAAAGAGGATGTTTATAAAGAGATTTTGGGCAATGATTTGTAGTTTTTCTGGTACCAAACCTTCATAGTGAAGGGTTCGTTTTCTCTCTGAGTGTTGTGTCCCTTGAGGAGTGGACGAAGGAATTAACTGATTTCTCTAACTAAGCGAAGGTTTGGATAAGTTTATGAAAATCTTCTCGAAATGGATAAAAAGAAGTAATGTATAAATAATAAATTTCACATACTATAAACAAGGTCTGGACCTAGGATCAGCACATCATTTGGGATAACTATATAAAATTTCACATCGTATTAAAACATCATATTAAAAGGGAAAACTCACATACTCCAAACAAGCGGAACATAACAGATTTGGAGTTGGAATCTCTGAAAATACTTCAAAACTTTACCACTATAACTAATCTTTAAGCTAAAATGAGAAAAGGAGAGGTGAAACCCAAAATTGGAATGGAATGTGATGTTTGGAAGTGTGGAAACTGGAATCGCGCTGTTTTTATTAGGGGACGGATCCGGGGCGTCCATGTTGGGGCGTCCAACTTGGACGCCCCACCCTCGATGACATGTTCGATGCACTGAAATTCTGCCACATTTCAACTGTTATTTTTTTAATTCTTTAAAATCATTTTGTTTTCTCGGGGAGGTGCATAAACAATAAGATTGCGCGTTTTATAACCTTTGTGTATGTGAATCTAGCATTTTTCTCTAAAATAACTAAACGCACGAATGACAAATTTATGTATTCTTAAAGCCATAAAGCCTTTTAGTGTTTGTGTTTTGTACGGAGTATTTATCTTTGAACTCCTGTTAGTGCTAACGATGGGATAAAGCGATGAAATTTAACCTACAATCAATTTATGTCGGGTGAAAAAACAACAACCCATATTTGGGTTTTGAGATTGCTTCTTCCTATCATGTACAAAAACACTATTTCAAAAAGGCGTGATTATCTTTTTAGAAAATACTCCGTAATTGTTTAAAAAGTATTTGTCAGATTTATTCTGTTATTTTCCCCACAAAATCCAACAAATTAAAAGAGGTGATTTTTTTTAAATGTCATCTTTTTTTATGCTATAATAAGATCGGTTAAAAAAGGAGTCAATAAAAGGCTATACACATACGGTTGAAAAGTGGAAAAATAACATGTCCACATAGTTATGAAAGGCGAGTGGCGAGTGGCGGGCGAGAGGACCTTTTTTGTGGCGAGTGGCGTGGCGAGTGGCGGGCGAGAGGACCTTTTTTGTGGCGAGTGGCGTGGCGAGTGGCGGGCGGTCATATGGCGAACAAAAAAAAGCGAGTATGTATGCACACACACACAGATATGTGTGTGTGTGTATACACACACACACACACAAACAAATTGTGCATGGCATATCATAAAGTTTTAAACAATATATAAATCTCAAAGGAAAACAAAAACANACTCGATAATACAAAAGTTAAAAATATAATACAAAAATTTAAAATAAAAGTATAAAACACAAATTAAAAAAGCTAATAAGAATTGAAAAGTGACCTAGTTGACTGCCGACACCACTTGGAGGAAATTGACTGAGAAATAGCCGCTGGAAGCTGCGACCTGCTGCTGTGATAGAAGACTGGGAGCAGATTCGCAGCTGAATCGAGTGGAAGAGATGATCGAGTTATGACTGGAAGCCTGGAACAACGATCAGGTTACGGGAAGAGGTAATTGCAGATCTTTAATTAGAAACGGGCTCAAGCCCAATTTAATTGCTCCTTTGGATGAAGTCTGGACACTGAAAATATTGACCCACAACTTAATTGCGTCAATTGCGAACGCCATACGCCTTAATTAGCATCGAAAATGGCGATCGCCATTCCTCGCCTCAAGGACATCGCCATGCACAGCCCAATCCAGGTGCTCTAGCCTCGCCACAGCGCCATAAACGCCATAGGCGATCAAGGCGCTCGCCTTTCATAACTATGCATGTCCATATCTTTGATGGGTAAAGTTACGTATCCCAATCTTAATTTCAATAATGGAACTTCTAAGCAGTCCTGATTAGAAGTGTAGTGAACACAATTTTTCAAGTCTAAGACGATCATTGTACCAGGCATCCTCCGGAACTTAAAACTAAGTTATAAGTAAATCATTTGGAACATAACTCATTTTTTCATAAGAAGAGAATTCGAAGTGAAGCACAACACATTAGATGTATAACAACGGTAGCAGGAACAAAAACAAAGACAACTCAGTTGGGTCTGAGGAAGGAAGGTGTGTGTACGCAAACCTTGGCTCTCCTCGAAAGTAGAGAGAGGCCCCGGCTCTCACACACACTTAATAAGTAGGAATTTGAAGCCTTCTAATTGATGTTGCGTTAACTGAATCCTGCTATGCATTCCCCTCTATCTTTCATCAGTACACCTTGACACCACCGGGGATATGGCCGCTACCATAACGTCCAACGTAGTGCACTGAAAGGAACATACTCATCAGAAAAAAAGGCATTCATCCTTCACATTCTAACACTAAACATACCATATGCGTCTGGATGAAATCTCACCGTCTACAGAACCACCAATTTCATTATTTTTTTCACCAGCATCTCACTTCCGCTGTCCCCACTTTCACTGCCTGATTCTGTTAGAGCCATGGTCATCCCAATCTTTACAACTTTTGCAGCTTTATCGAGTGACATACTGGTAAAATCCCTATAACAAAACATGAACCGCTATAACATCTTTTTCAAAAACTCAAGGACTGGGGACCAGGAAAAGGAGTGATGCCTATTGACAGCAATAAAGGCAGCAAATGACGTTTGGCACTATTTCACACAACCCCTCCATATTATCAAAAGACAACACCTTGGCTACATGCATTGCAATCTTTTTGGCAGAATGACGTTTCTTCTTGGGGTACTAAAATTGAAACATAAATGAGATTTCAACAACAAGAACAAACATACAAAGAAGAAACCAGTGACTGAGAATCACACCACATCCCAAGTTTTTTATTTATTTATTTATTTATTTTGCTAAAAAGAGAACAAGAAACATCGTGATCACTACCTTCAGAGAGCGGAGGAGATTGCAAATATTTTCACAGTCCGCAGCCTCTCTAGTGACACAGCCAATCACATGACAACTGGTGTTAATAATGTTATTCTGAACAGCTGAAAATGATGCAAAAAATCAGCAGCACATTCACAACTTATTCCCCAAAATACAGAGCATATATACATACACTAACATATACGGAAGCAAAACAACTCACACGGATAATGTTTTGTGCCAGCGACTGAATTATCAACAGCAATCAAATCCCCTTCACTACAAATAAAAGCCAGAACAGGGGGGCCCTTTGTTGTCTCAGGTCTTGTTTCCATCTATCACCAGCAACATTACTATAACAATAATAATAACGGTGGGGTTCTAGTGACACCGGAGTACGGTGACACTAGCCGTGCCACTGTCATTTTGGAGCATTTCCAGTGCTCCGTTCGTAAAATTGACGATTCCTACCCCCCTAACCCACCCCCTAAACCCCCACCCCTGCACCCCCAATCCAACCTCGCCGTTACCCCCCACAAAATGTGTGGCTATTATGCATAATAGCCACACATTCTGTGGGGGGTCACGACAAGGTTGGGGTGGGGGTTTAGGGGTAGGAATCATCAATTTTACGAACGGAGCACTGGAAGTGCCCCAGAAGTACCCCAAAATGACAGTGGCACCGCTAGTGTCACCATACTCCGGTGTCACTAGAACCCCACCGTAATAATAATCAAACCAAATAGAATGGAAAAGGAACCACAAACATGCGACTCCATAAATTTAAGCTTTGACCATACTTCATTAAAAAGGAAGAAATAAGATAGACTAACCTCTCTCGAAGGCAAACACTTGTAGGTAAGATAGCTTTCGCCGTCCACAAGCCATTCCAATTGTTTATAAACCAAATACTCAAAAAACTAAAACAAAGTAAACCAAAGAAATGCAAAATAAGTACATTAAAAGGAGAGTAAGACTTTTTCTTTTCGGTTGAAAATCTAAGGTTGAATGTCGAAAGAAATTAGAAGAAAGAAGAAACTAGAAGTTGGAAGAAACTAGAAGGGGTTGAAAAAATAAACAGTAAATGATCACCCAAATAAATATGTAAGAAAACTAATTTTGGATTTTTAAAAAAATGTGGTCTTTGTCTGTGTTTGAGGTGTTATGTTATAAATTTAGATATATAATGTTATTGTATAATGAGTGGGGTGACGTTGACACCGGAATCCAGTGTCAACGGATGACACTCGCCCATTTTGGGGCACTTTCGGTGCTCCGTTTGTAATATTTATGATTCCTACCCCCCTAAACCCCCCTACCACAGCCCCCCACCCCAGGGTGACAAGGGTGGGGTTGGAGTAGGGGGTTTAGGGGGTTGGTTAGGGGGTAAGAATCATCAATTTTGCAAGCGGAGCACCAAAAGTGGCCCAAAATGACAGTGGCACTGGAGTGCACCGTACTCCGATGTCACTAGAACCTCACCGTTGCATAATACATTTTTCATGTCATTGAAAGAAACTGGAAAGAGTTGAAAAAACTTGGAAGTTAATTTTTCCAACCGAAAATAGCAGAGCCTATGTAGGAAAACAGGAGTTTAATTAGTATTATTTCGCACCATAATTGCTCATGCTGATTTCGAAAAAATACACATGAACATATAAAATCAGTGTGACTGCTCAAAACCTAATTTCAAAGAAACCAACTTCCAGGATGTGATATGAATTTTATCTTAAAAAACATTGTGATGCACATCCAAATCATTAATTCCTCGAATTGATGTATCTTTCTTAAGCTTGTTACAATAGTAGTATTAATTCATTCCATCTAAAATGTTGTGATCTTTCAAGGATAATGGAAACGCTCAAGAACTTTGTCTCCATATTTGTATCATCAAATTCTCATCAAGACCATTCATTTTAATATTTCATGAAGAGAGGAACTAACCACTCTATCAAAGTCAAAGCAAATGTTCATGTTTTTGTAGTCATCAGGGTCATTATCCACAATAGCACTTAACGCAGATCCCCTTCTTCTTCTTTAGATCTAATATCTCTTGCTACCTCCGCAAATTATACTATACAATCGGATGTACCCAAAATTGGGTACAGTCGGTAAATCAAAGAAGAAAAGGCATTGATCGGAGAATAAAGGAGGTGCTCCTAGTCGGGTCGGGTCGGAGGAAGGAAGCTGCATCGGAGGAGAGCTGCGTCGGATCGGGAGGAAGAAAGCTATTGTATGGAAGGGAGATGTGCACGGCCGATCGAGGAAGCTGTTGATAGGCGGGAGGAGAGAGAGATGTTGTACGAAAAACCTAGTGGAGGAGTGATCGATAGGAGGAGAGGGTAGCGGGTCGGGTGAGAGAGAAAAAGAAAATTATTTATGTTATGGATTTTATTTATTTGAGAATAAACATTAAGTTTTTTGAGAATAATACTGTTTTATCTCCGAATGTACACTACGTCATTTGTAAATAAATGATGGTACTGAATTTTTCAATTGTGAAAGAATTCAACAATACTTTAGTTGAGAATGAGTGTTCCCTTATTTGAGAATGGGTATTGTTTTTTTAAGAATGAACACTACGTTATTTATTATAATTACATTAGACAAATATGTAAAAATGAGTACTTCGTTACTTTAAAATAAGCATTACCTTATTTCAAAATGAGTACTAAGTATTTCGAAATGAATGTTTATATTTGTATGAGAATGAGTACCTTCTCCGCTACCTCAAGCCCATGAGATCTAATCTAATCAACCGACAGCGAAGATATATCGACCTAAGATTTCATCTCTCTCGCTTCCTTATCTGCCAAACGGCTAAGCCCCTCAAGAGAGGTGACCGAGGCAAAATCGGAGCAACCGGCGAATTCAAATGGTGGAAAAACTCGAAGCCATGGGAGAACCAGCGAAAGGGAGGGTGGCCTCACTCTCATCAGTCTTTCATGAGGATGAAGCTAGGAAAGCTACTCAAGCTGCAGCACGTGCAAGATGCCATAGCCGAGAGGCGGAAGTAGATGGACCAGCTACATTGGTGGTCCAAAGGGTGTGCAGAATGGCCAACCGCACAGGGCCTCTAAAATTTTAGGGTCCCATATTTTAAAATGTGTTAATAATTTTAAAGCATAAGTATTCTAAAAAATAAAATAGGGCCCCTAATGTAAATTTTGGACCAGGCCAATTTTATTTTTTCATTTTTCAAGGCCGGCCCTGACCAGCTGAACGACTTCATTCCTGACAAAAAAAGAGCCTAAGTACATATTTTCCTGCAGGTATGATCAGCTGAATGACTTCATTCCCGAATGACTAAACATGAAATTTATTCTAAATATTTCCTTAAGCATATGTCTGATTTTGTAGGTGAAAAAAGAAAGGAATTGGTTTGCATGAGCAATGCTCTATATGAGTTCGACGAAATGCCTCAACAAGATGTAAAGCCCAGGTGTCATTTCATTTCTTACTACTTAGTTTAGTACTGGTCAGATTGTGCTATGGGAATGTCTATATGCTTTGTTTCAGTATATTGTATGCTTGAGCCTGCACTCTATTAAACCTATCGATGTATAATCTTTCGATCCGTCTTTTTATTGAAAGTTTTTTTCTGTGAATATGGTGAGCTGAATGTTTTTCAAAGTAAAAGCATTTGGCTAAATTGAGTTAATTTAACAATCATTTTTGAAATGATATTTGATACCATGAGTAGTTCTTTGGTTCTCATAATCTTTAGTGTTTCAATTTTGTTCTTAAGCCACACATTTAAACCTGGTGGCTTATGAGTATTCATGGAACTCTTAATATCTTTGAACCTATTATTTTCAACTTAAATGAATTGTTATTATTTCACTTCAATGACTATGGGAACACAAATTTGATTGGGAATATACTCAATGGGATCACAAATTTGATTGGAAAATGAAGACATCTACTAAGATGTATGAAGATGTGTTGAAGGCACACGAAAGCGCTAAGAAATTTGAGAAGTTGTCCTAAGATCTGACAACAGAAATTCAAATTCTAAGAAGGGAAAAAGAATCTTTACACTATGTTTGGTTCAAGGAATTTGAAAGGGATCGGAAAAGAAAAGAATATGAAGTGGAAAATAGTTTTTCTTGTTTGGTTAGAGAGGAAAAGAAAAGGAAATTGGACGGAAAAAAAATGAGGAGACAAAATATACTAAGTGGAGGGAAAATCAAATTCCTGTCATTTTAGTGAGGAAAATGAGAGAAAATCATTTTCTTTTCTTTTCAAATTTCTTGAACTAAATATAGTGTTAGAAAAAACAGAAAACAAGAGTTGTCAAAAAGCATACTACGTTTGATGAGAAAGACCTTCAGGGAGAGTGTGAGTTACAAAGCCAAGGTAGACCATGCACTGCTTGTATATTGAGAAGTGGGGGTCCTAATTTTGTTCATGCACAATTTATTTTTAGGTGTTAGGACGAAGCAATCAAACAACTTCACCTTTTGGAGAGGGAATTTCAAGTGTCATCTGATAAACTCAATAAGATTACGACTTTGTATGAGAAACAAGTTCGAGAGGAGGATAATTTAACAAAGAGGTATGCGTGGAATTTCACTTGGTTTAACAATATATAGCATCCTCAAAGTTGTTCTTGACAAGGTGTTCAACTGTCTTCTTCCATTTGCGTGGTTTAATGTTGGAACCTATTCCAACTCCATTGGGGTACGAGGTTAAGATGTACACAACCTTACCTATTTGAAAAATTAAATAAAAACGGAGACCATTTTTGCTAGACCCTTGATACATTGGCGAATTTACTGCCCAAAACATCATATGAAGTAAGAAGCAAGGGATGTGTCATGCGTCATTTTGATTTAATATATTATCTACACAAAACTAAAACATTATTTAAAAAATCACTTTTTCATCTCCATTGTCAGTATACGTAAACAATCTATTTTTATTTATTAAGCACTTTTATTAGTAAGACTTATGTTAAGAGTGAGTACAATCTTTTTTAAAGCAATATTGCATGATGGCTTTCTAAAGTCAAGTTAGTATCTTAGAAGTTTTATGATAGTGGCACATGCTAGATTAATTGCCCTTTGATTTTCAAAAGCTTTTCCGAAGAAAATCATCAAACTCAAGTAGCCATGGTTGACAAGGGAGCATGTTGCCTTTTGTGTTATTCTTCAAATTTTGTTTATGAGAAATTTTTCTGATGCAGACCTTGTTTGTAACATCTGAACCTTTTTCTTTTTTACCAAAATTATCATCTAGCAAAAATTTAGAAATGAATTGTTTTTATTCTGGTGCAGACCTTGATAAAACATTTGTAGTAAAGGGAGTCAACTTGACCGAAGGGCTAGTTTTTCGCCGTGTCATCTCTAAGATCGGCTCAAGGGAAAGTGAAAATAGGAGCTAGCTAAACAAGATTTACTAGTTGAATTGAAAAGTTTTCAAGTAATCGAAGTCTTAAAAAGGGGTGGTGATTGATATCTCAGTTTAAAAAGACAGGGATGTAATTCACTTTCAGGTAATGGCTATTTATGGACTACTTTTATTAGTTGGAACAATTTTCATTTCAAATCTTTATTACTTGTGAATAAATATCGTTAAACATTTATTCAATAATTAATTCTTGTTATAGAAATTAACTATTCGTATTAAAGGATATGGCTTAATCTTGATCATGATTTCTCAATGAACTCAATTATCTTTTTCAAAGTTTGATTAATAATTTCTTAATTAATTAATCACAATAAAAATTCATGATAATAACAACTAGTAATTTTTAAATTTTTAAAGAACAATTCCAACACAATATTTTCATCTAAAAATTATCATTACCCTACTATGAATCACATCCCTCATAAATTTTATTCATCATAATAGTAGATCTAAACATGCATTGACATAGAAAAGACATAATTAAATTGATAATTAAAATAGAGAACTTACTTTTACGCTTTCGCGTCATCAGGAGAACCAGGGCACACTTTGCACCGAGAAAACTCTAAAAACTAAACTGAAATTATAAAATGTGTAAAAGAGTTTAGAAATATGGGAAAGGGAAAATTTTTGCTGAAAATCGGATAAAAATGAGCAGAAGAGGCGCTGCTTTTATAGGGTCGGACGCAAAGCGTCCATCCCATGTCATCCAAGTCAAAGCGTCCAGATCCGGACGCTATGCCACGTAGTCTCAGCCAGCTAGTCGATGATTCCCCCGTGTCAGTCTTGGAAAACAATCCAGTAGAAGCGTCCAACTCAAAGCATCCAATGGCGCAAAGTGTCCACGGGTTGGACGCTTTAGGCCCGTTTCATTTTTAGTTTAGCAGCTTTGTTGCAATTTGGGCCTGGTTTCGCTACCTTATGTCTCCGAACACTGTTTCACTTCTCCAGAGATTCTCTCAATAATAATTCGCTAAACTGATTTATTTAAGAACCAAATTATTATTCCTCTTAGAACCAACTAACAAAGATTGTTCATATTAATAGTATTCATCACTATTTTTGTGCAACAACGTTTAAAATATGTACAATAAAATAAGAATAAAATGAACTTATCAAAATTCTCACACTTAAACGTTGTTTGCTCTCAAACAACAAATTTGAACAATTAAGGATATGAAATCTTTCTTGGCATCACTAAAAAGAGCTTTAATCGCATTACATGAGGAAAGTTCGAATAAGATAATCGTCAATCCTTGTCATTTAGTTGCATTTTTAGAATTGTCTCCCACACTATTGGAAATATGAAAATCTTTTGTCAAGCTAGTATATTTACTTGATTTAATCATATAGTTCTAAAGTGTTACTAAAACAATTGTATTTCCCACAAGTAATCATATAGTTCTAAAGTGTTACTAAAACAATTATCTCCCTCGCCTTATACAATTCGCGGGAGAAGCAAAGCTCCTTTGTGGAGATAGTATTTCCAATTCGTCACTTAAGCGCAATCATAATAAAAATTACACTAAAGATCTTAGAATTATTTTTATTACATATATAGACCTTTATATCTTGTCAAAAATTCTGAAAAAAATCAACATTTCTAATAAGGCAATAAAAATCATTTGATCTAAAAAAACTTTAGAAAATACTAATATATCTCAAGCCAATTAGAAGGCTATTTGAAAAAAATTAGAGTAAAAATTAAAGTTTGACAAAAAATTTAAAAATTCTAATTTTTTATGGGTGACAACCTATCAATTAACTACTCAAGTTGGATTGATGACTAAGTTGAACACAATTTCCTGCAAGTGTGCATGTAAAATAATTCCCATTCAAACATTTCAACCACATATTTCTTCTCCTAGCTCACACTTGAACACAACCGCGTCCCCGTGGTTGGAAAAAAATGTCTAGGAGTAAAAACATGTTAGCGGATAAAAAATAAGAAGTTTCAAACAAGCCACAAGCCAATTGAGCATCAATGTCCTGCTCATAAATAAAAGAAAAAGATGTTCATGAAAGAGAAAAAGATAAATCACTACGGGGTGCAAAGGATGAGGGATCATTGCCCTCAAAAAGACAGGGCGTAAGACTAGTGTGAACATCCGTGTAAAAACTTGAGAAAACGTTCCGCATTTGAGCAAAGCTCTCAGCTTGGGAGGTCTGCTGCTCCTCCATAATTGCTATGATGCGAATGAAGGTCTCCTGCTGCTCCAAGATCCTCCAGGACCATTCTGGAGCTAGCTTTTCTCGGGAAGTAGATGTTGTGTGTTAGGCCCGAACCGGGGGTCTAAACGAGCTGCTATTCTGAGGAGGAATCAAGGAATGATTCAGCTTTGAGTTCAGGGTTCTGGAGCAGGAGATAATCGATTTACACAAAGTGACAATCGACTATTGAAGGCTGCAGATTTTAGGGAAAGAGTGATAGTTGATTATCTGGAAAGGATAATCAATTATTGATCCCTGCGGGTGTTTCCAATGGAGCTGATAATCAATTGTGGGGGAATGATAATCGATTATTTGGCAAAATTCTAGGCAAGAAGAAGGGTGTTTTTGTGGGGGAATGGACTGGAAATATATGGAGATAATGAAGGAGCTCTTTTGGTATTTTTAATATAAGGAAAGAAAGGAGATTAAGGATAGAAATGGTGAGAAAAGAAATGGATAGAAAATAATGATGGATAAACCAAGTTGGTGTTTAAGAGATATTACATACTCTTATCCTAACTTGGGGTTTGAATCTAGAATTTAATTAAGATATGACACACTTAATCAAATATCTAGAACCTAAAACTCACACTTAAGATAACCACTCTTAAGATATAGAATTAGGAATTTGGCTAAAATAGCATCACACTATTTTAATAATACTCAAAGAGTAAAAGGTTTTTCAATATTCAGAGATATATTACATTTGGCCATCGGGCCTGATTTATATAAGCAGGGGGGAAGGGGGAAATAATACACAATGCAATGAATGTGAACATGAGAAAGCTTCCTAGCAACATCCTCTCTCAAAGCATGGGGCATTCTCCATTCAAACCTGTCTCCTTAGTGGGGTAAAATCAGGGATGGGGCTGGGGGTTGTGGGGTTTGTGTTTTGGTTCCTAGTGGTTTTTTCCTGGGTTTTTGTGGCTATTATTTAGGTAAAAATGGGGGTTGTTTTGGCTAATAAAAGGGGGCAGTGATGGGGGATATAATGTGTGGTTTTTGGACTTATAGGTTTGGGTTATGTGTAAGGGAATATGGGAAGGAAATGAGTGGCAAGTGGTGGATCAAGGTTTTGGCTCTTTGTGGGTGTTTATGTTGGGATTGTGAAGTGTATTTTGGCCAGGGGTGAATGGAATAAAGGGAGAGTTTTATTGGCTTAATAAAAAGCTTAAAAAAGGAAAATAACAACAAACAAAAGGTTTTATTTTACACACTCTTATTTTCGGCCCTAGGCTAAAATAAGAGTAGGAAGAACTTTATTTTGGATATCAAAAGGAAATAAGATACTTATGGATATTTGGGGTTGGGTTGGACGGAATGAGGATTGGCCAGCGGAACCCCGAGGTCAAAAACGAAAGCGATTTGGCCTTCCGGGTTAAAGACTTTGAATTCTTACTAAAATGGATCATAATGTTTGAAACTAAGTCCTTTGGTTCCCATGGGAGTGTGGGACATGGGGGAGGGTAGGATAGGGTCAAGCCCGGGTATTACATCGTGGCTCGGGAGCCAGCTGGGCGTCAACGAGTGGCTCTCCTAGACAAAGGCTGGGAAGATGCTCCTGTCGTGAGTAGCGTGAGTAGAGCAGAGGAGGAGGCAATGTTACTCTCGGAAGAACTAGATCCCAACCTCTTGCAAATGTGAGCATTCTGCAGCATGCCTGCATCCAAATCTCATATCAGCATCTGGGCCTAAGGAACGGGCGCATCATTAATGAGGGACCGGAAGAGTAATGTAACAACAAAGCCGCAGACAATGTGCTTCCAAATCCCTAGTGACTGGCTATACAAGAAGGTCCCATTCGCCTGCTCCCGAGTGTGCAGGCTCCATAAGACGAGGTGATCGTTGGCATAAACCTGGTCCGTGTTCAACGGCCTTCTGAAGAAGGACATCGGCAAAACGAAGGACAATCTAATTATAAATGAAATAGAAAATAATGAGTAATTATTAAATAAGAATATCATTATTACTACTACTGTTATTATTATTACAATTATTATTATTATTAAAGTAATCAAACCAAAGAAGTATGATAACGAGAGCGTAGAATTAAATTGGGGAAAGTTTGCAATTTTAGAAAAATAAAGAAACTTATTAATTAATCATATGTAGGAGTATAATGTGGCATAGAAGTAAAATGTCAATTAGTGAATGGAAGGACATGGATGCCCTTTCAATTGCAAGGCAACCAAAGAAAAACCCTTGAACTATAGAGTGAAAGGAAAGGAGTGGAATGAGAAAGTCATATGGAGCACATTATACTACGCATTTAAATTTATTACAATGTGCTTAATACTATTTTTTTAATTTTCATTATGTAACTCACTAAGATGAATTCATCGGGATCTTCACCTTCTGAGTCTTCATGGGTCAAATTAGTTGAAAACATTGGCTCAATATCCCTTGGAGACCTGTAAGTTCTACATGATTTCGCGAATCTCATTGACTATAGACGCAAACTGTTACTTAACTAACACTTCATATTGTGTTGTTGCGTAACTTACTTTCAAAAATGCTAACTGATAAATAGGTATCAAGGAATCCATTATGGTAAGGAAGTAACAGTTATGATTTGCGATTTTGAGAATTTGGACAAAACATTGGCTGAATTTTTTTTCAAGCGGGCTATTACAAGGTATAATCATTGTGATAGAGTCATCGAGATAAATGAAGAGTTGATGATTTAACTTGTTTACTAGCCTGAATAGGTCCTTGACGTCTAAGTGTTCATAAATATATTCCTTCAACATTTACTTTTTTTATTTTTATAATAAGATTTTTTAAATTAATGGATATTTACATTTAAAACTAAATTTTTACTAAGAGGTAAATTGCTATGGGAAAAAAGAATCAAAATACTTCCAGACACAGCTCAATGATTTAGTTAGCTTGTTGTACAACATTATATAATTTTCTGTTTATACAATTCTATTTTCAAATTTCTATTTGTAAACAATAATACATATGTGTTGAACATTGTCATCTATAGTATATTTGTTGTTTGTGCCACTTGTATATTTTTATCATTGTTTAGCATCAATTGCAAAATGATATTTCATACATTTTAAGTCATTTCAGAGATTCGAGGTTTTTGATAATCAAATCGTCTGACATTTCCCGGTTCATAATGTATTGTAGAGAAGACGAAGTGGTAATTGATAAAGAGCTTCATTTCGAAAAATTGTCAGTAGATGTTTCCAAAATGAGGACATGTGGTTTCTACAATGGAGTATACGATAGTCGTAAAGCTGATGTTTTTTATTTTTCCATCGAAGAATATGACAGGGCAATGAGTTCTTGAATATAGTAAGAGAATTTGTATCACACCATTGTATTTAAAGATATATTGGTTATGAAAAAGTGATAAGTCAAAAGGATTGGCTAGGAATTTATATTTACCTCGAGAGAACTAGAGATGATGTTTGGTTTAAATTACTGAAAAGAAGCCAGTAGCCAAGTCAAATATATGTCGATTCTCTAAAGTTAGTAGTACCAAATTTTATTCTTTTTGAATTTTTATTTGTGGTGTTGTTAAATAAACCTTATGGCTTCTAATTTGTTTTGTTGCAATACAGATTTATAGTGCAAACACTAAAGGCAATCAATGACATAGGTATGTACATGGAAATGTCATCCCCGAGAATATCGTCCTTGCGCTTGGTAATAGAACAAAGTTTCTCAAACTCTGTGCTTTACTCCATTGCAAAAAAGTATTAGCACGTATAATGATACTTATAAACTTCTATGAGTACAGTTTCTCTGTCTTGTTCTATTTTTCTCCATTCTTTTTTCTCCTTCTTGTCACAGTTTCAGGACCTGAAATTGAGCATTGGCTAGTGCCCGAAGCAAGAATGGTTAACAAGCCACTTTCAAAGCAAACTGATCTATTTCAGTTACCTTTCATTACTTCCTTGCAAGTGAGAAGCACCTGGTTGGTGAGACTCACAACGGCGCTTGGGTATGCATAAGCGATGTTCTACACTAGATAGGATATTGGTTTCCTTAGAGCATCCGTCTGAAGCAAAACATCTGATGACTCTTATGTTCGACATTAATAAATCAAGAAGGTAAAATTTGTTGATAATAAACAACATATTCTCTTTTAGTATACGTATAAAATATTTTCTCTTTTACTTTTTCTATTTTAGAACTACGTTAAAAACTGTGTTATGCCATCTCTTCTTTGGGACAGTAAAAAGCGAACGGAGTTTATTTGTTTGATGACTTCCAAACAAATATAAACTCTGTTCGCATTTTATTGTCCCAAAAGGGATGGCCTAATACAGTTTCTAATGTAGTTCTAAAAAAGAAAAGAGTAGAAGAGAAAGTATTTCATACGTATACTAAAAGAAAATGTATCCTTTATTATCAACAAATTTTACTTTTCAGGCAGACGATTTTAAGAAACCAATATTCTATCTTGTATAGAACATTGCTTATACATATTCAAGCGTTGCATGTGAGTCTCACCACACGGGTGCTTCTCACCAGCAAGAAAATAATGAAAGGTATGCCGCAACTGAAATACATTAGTTTCCTTTGAAAGTGGCTTGTTAGCCATTGTTGCTTCGTGCACTAGTCAATGCTCAATCTCAGATCTTGGAACTGTGACAAAAAGGGGGAAAAACAGAATGGAAAAAAATAGAACAAAATAAAGAAACAGTACTCATTGAAGTTTATAAGCATAATTATACGTGCAAATACTTTTTTGCAATGGAGTAAAGTAGAAAGTTTGAGAAACTTTGATCTATTACCAAGCACAAGAACGATACTCTCGGAGATGACATTTCCATGTACATAACTATGTCATTGATTGTCTTTAGTGCTTGTACTATATACCTATATTGCAACAAAACAAATTAGAAGTCACAAGGTTTATTTAACAATACTACAAAGAAAAATCTCAAAAAGAATAAAATTTGGTACTATTAACTACAGAGAATCGACACATATTTGATTTGGCAACTGACTTCTTTTCAGTTATTTAAAGCAAACATTATCGCTAGTTCTCTCGAGGTAAATATAAACTACTAGCCAATCTTTTCGACTCATCACTTTTTCATAACCAATATATCTTTAAATAGCATGCTGTAATACAATTCTCTCATTACATTCTAGAACTCATTGCACTTGTCATATTCTTCGACGGAAAAATAAAAAACATCAGCTTCACAACTATCGTATACTCCATTGTAGAAACCACGTGTTCTCATTTTGGAAACATCTATTGATAATTTTTTAAAATGAAACTCTTTATCAATTACCACTTCGTCTTCTCTACAATACATTATGAACAAGGAAATGTGAGACAACTTAAATATCAAAAACCAGAATTTCCAAAATGACTTAAAATGTACAAAATATCATATTACAATAGATGCTAAACAATGATGAAAATATACAAGTGGCACAAACAACAAATACACCATAGATGACAACTTCCAACACATGTCTTATTCTTTACAAATAGAAATGCAAAAATAGAATTGTATAAATAGAACATCATATAATGTTGTACAACAAGCTTACTAAAGCATTGAACTGCGTCTGCAAGTATTTTGATTTTTTTTCCCATAGCAATTTACCTCTTAGTAAAAATTTAGTTTTAAATGTAAATTTCCATTAATTTAAAAAATCTTATTATTAAAAAAAAAGTAAATGTTAAAGGAATACATTTATGAAAACGTATACGTCAAGGACCTATTCAGGCTAGGAAGCGAGATAAATCATCAACTCTTCATCTATCTCGATGACTCAATCACAATAATTATACCTTGCAATAGCCTGCTTGGAAGAAAATTCAGCCAATGCTTTGTCCAAATTCTCAAAATCGCAAATCATAACTGTAACTTCCTTACCATAATGGATTCCTCGATACCTATTTATCAATTAGCATTTCTACAAGTTAGTTACACAACAACACAATATGAAGTGTTAGTAAAGTAACAGACACATGTTATAGTCAATGAGATTCGCGAAATTATATTGAACTTACAAGTCTCCAGAGGATATTGAGCCAATCTTTTCTACTAATTTGACCAATGAAGACTCGAAAGGTGAAGATCCCGACGAATTCATCCTAGAGAGTTACATAATGAAAATTTAAAAATAGTATTAAGCACATCGTAATAATTTTAAATGCATAGCATAATGTGCTCCATATGACTTTCTTATCACATTCTTTTTTTCCCTCTATAAATCAAGGGTTGTTCTTTGGTGCCTTTACAATTGAGAGGGCATTTATGCCTTTCCATTCACTAATTGACATTTGTACTTCTATACCACATAATACTCCTACTTCTAAAATTGCAAAATTTCTCCGATCTCATTCTACGCTTTCGTTATCGTAATTTTTCAGTTCAATTACTTCAATAGTAAAAGTAATAGTAATAGTATTCTTAATTAATAATTTCTCATGACGTGCAAAGAACAAATAAATAATAAGAACGGCTTTAGAACTCGTATCTCTTTGTATTAGCATCTTTAGCCTCCCTTACAATGGAGGGTTTGCTTCCTATTGCTTCCTATTTATAATCTACATCTACCATGTACAAGGAATGTCAAGTTTGTGTGCTACATTATCGGCCATTTGCCAATCGTGTGTCGGAGGAGAATCAGTTATCAATTCCCCTCAATCCCAAGATTCGAGGAATCTTATTTAATTTGGGTATTGGATCAGATGTCCGGTCCATTCTTGGGGATCGCCTCCAAGTCTGCAATCGGACTCATATATATATTAGGCCACCCCAACTTCAATTGGGTTGTTCTTGTCGAATCACTGGACATGATATCCATCACAAGCCCCCTAGTTCCTTAGTGATATGTCACTAAGGAACTAATGATGAGCCGCCTTTAATTATCGTGCCGGATCAGAAATGATTCCACTCTTTACTCGAGTTTCGAGTTGTAACGTCTATAAAATCCACTCCTTTTCGGCCTTCCCTGACCCAATTTCAGAGTTAGCTTCCATCATTCACAACTTTCTTTCCGAATCTCTGCAGTATGGCTTCCCAACCCGTTGACATTGTGTAATTGAGGGTCGAATCCTCCACAATTAAGGATTCGGAGCATGCTCTCATGTGTGATCTTCTGGAAGATGTGTTCAGAATCCATCATCCGGACGCCGTGGGCGAGATCGATCTTGCACACAACACGGAGCCATAGCACTTCCTGCTCATGCACTACGACTTGGTCCTCCATGGTTTCAGACTTTCGTTGCACCCTTTCATCCTGCATAACTTGGGAGCCTCCTAGGCAATTCACGGCGAGTGCCCACAAATATCTGGCCTCCTACATCCTCCGTTGTCACAATAAAGGATAAACTCCTTCAGTTCAAGACTTCATGACCTTATTCTGCAGCACCTTCCCTTATTTCAGCATATTATTCCACCAAAAGCGCCCCAGTTTCAAAAAGGTGGAGCTGAAGATTGCGATTTGGCAAAGAAAATTGTCCTAAAATTTCCGCCTCACAACACTCTTTTCTCGAAATTGTGTTTAAGTTTAGAAACTTCAAAGAACTAAACAATGCCATAGATATTCAAAATCAAATCTGTAAATAAATAATTTTCGCTAAGCTCTAGGTTGCAGTAAATTATACATTGAAGAAACAAAACATACTAACAGAGAACAACATACAGTGCCTACTTATTGCAATATACTTACATAACATACATATTGCAAAAAAATGAACTAATTCCTTTAAAGGAGTATGGTCAGGTGTATTACAATTTGTGATAGCGTATTATATATGTTTCCCTCTAACACAAATGTTTAACATTAAATATTATTTCTTACTCGGAAAAAACGTGTTTGGGTGCTTTGTAAGATAGTTGGCTTTAAACACTATGGACCTTGGTGTTATACATCTAGTAAAAGTGTTACAGGAAACTGATTCCGACTAATGCAAAGTATTCATGTGGATATTGCAAGACAGTTAATTAAATATTGTTTGAACCCAATGCATAAAGTTGGTTTTTGTTCCACTATATGACAGGTAGCGCTTGAAAGTGTGTGTTGTTGACGAAACAGGCAATCTCGCATTGATCTTATGGGATAAACATTGCACTTCGCTCTTTGGAAAAGAGGCAGAAGTTTTCTTAAATGAAACTGTATGTGTGTTTTGTAAACAAATTTCTTAAAAAACATTAGATTCTTTGTACTTACTATTATTCTTATACAAAGATGATATTTAATTTCTTTTCAGGGTGATGATCTAGAAATCCCAAGAGAGTTTAACACTGTGAAGAATAAACCAATTGTGTTTGAGCTAGAAGTCAAAATATCAACATCAAGCTCTTTTGAAAAAAGTTTTTGTGCAACAGATTATAAGTGATGAAAAAACTTTGGACCATTTCACAGTGGCTAGCTCTAGCACACAGGTATAAGTTAATTTACACGGTACACTCAATAGACCGAAGTACTAATAAGGTAATTCTTTTTTATAGGCATCTGTTGACAGTAAACCATTAAAGAACATCACTGAAACTGTTGATTTGGAAGCTTGTGATAGTACCAGTAAAAAAGAGAATCTAAACATTCATGGTATTAAGCTTGTGATGCAACTGTCAAACGAGACCTTAGCAAGGAAATTGATGACATGGGGAGTCAGTTGAAGAAGAAACCTAAAGAGTGTTTGATTGAGAAAGATTAAGTAAAAGTTAGACCATTTCACAACCTTTAAGACAATTCTCTTTCTACTTTAAAAAAAACTTGCTCTTTACATCAATTCACTTATTTCAGTTTGTCCTATCTTCACTTAATTATTACTATTATTTTGTAAGTAATATATATGTATCTTCAGTTTGAAGTGTAAATGTTATATGTCCCATGTGTGTTACTCCTTTTAAAAGAAACACTTTTGCAGTGTTATTGATGCCAAGTTCGTTGTCGAATGTTGGCTGGTAATATGTTTAAATGAAGTACCTATAAGCAATTATTATTTCTCAGAACCAAAAATTAAAAGAAAAGTCATTCCATTTATAATTCAGTTTTAAACCTTGCCAATGCCAATTCTATTTCATGTAATAGTAAAATCACAAACAGAGGCTCAAAATACTCATTTGTGAAATATGGGTTCAAATGCAGATTACCAAAGATTTGGGAATCAATATATTAACACATCAAGAAACAAAAATAACTACCCATTACCAGCTTGATAAAGGTATGTACTTCTTAAATTTAACCTTTTAAAACCTGCATCACACACACATCTTTCTGATAGATATTGTCATTCATCTCAAGAAAACAGAGACAGACGAGCATACCTTATTAGAAAAAAATACTGCATAATTTCACAGCTTCTCAATGGATATGCCAGTGTACTCTTTATGTTTCCTGAAAAGAGAAAAAAAATCTTAATGACCAAATAATTCTAACAAAAATAATACAAATATCAACCAGAATAAAGTGCACCTAAGACAGAGAGAAAAAATACTCCGTAATATTTTCATCTCAATTCATTGTAATTAAAATAATTTATAGATGTAGTTTAGGAAAAACATGCACTTAGAAATAAGATCTAACTCGTAATGGTAAAGAAAAGGACTTTGTTTATAGCTCTGAACATGAACTTATAAATTTAATGTAAAATTAATTTATATAACATTCTCGGTTTAAATTAAAACAGGTCAGACCTTCATTTAATTTATTTACTATTGTCGGTTTAGATTGAAACAGACCAGATCATTATCCTTTGAACCTAAAGAAAACACTATAAAATTAGCTGAAGATAAGCAAATTCGAATATTTTTTAGATAAAGATCTAAAAATAAATATTACATACAGATCTAAAAGGTGAAAAAAGCCTTTTATAAATTGGAGTATAAAACTTTTAAGCTGAATATCTCGAAACAAAATATGTAAGAGATCTGAGAATCCTCGCCTTGAAAATAAGCTGTCTTTGTGCCCAATCTTTGTGCGATTTGCCTCCAATACGCTAATCCTCACCGTGTTCCCTTCGATTCCGCCGGCCGTGCATTCAGACCCGACGGTAATCGACGGCAGAAGGTCACAACACAAGATGGAAGTCCCTCCTCACTCTCTCTCCCTCTCTCTCTTTATATCTCTCTATGTCTGAAACGCAGATAAGATGAGAGAGGTCGGTGATGACCTTCATTAGTGGTGCGAGAAATTTGGTTAAACTATATAACCCACGAATATTCTACTCCTCTCAAATTAACATTATTATTTTTTTAATTTCAAAATAAAAGAATTAAAATTTTTTCCTAAATTAACAAAAAAAAGTAAAACAAACAAATGTATATATACACATCATACTTCTAAATAATTTTTAGTCTGCTAGAATTTGTTTTTTTTGTACAAAACCTTCTTTACATGTTTACTTTTTTCATTTTGTTATTGCAAAGCCTTTTAAACTTTTAGAACATTATGAAAATTGAAAATGAATTTTTAAAAAAAAAACTCGCGCAAAGGATACAAATACATAAAAAAAACTACTACCTTCGTCCCAGTGTATTTGTTCAATTTGACATTTTCAAATCAAGCTAAGCAATCTTTGAGCTCCAATTACTCTCAATTTGTATTACATATTGCTAAAAAAAATATATTTTAGAAAATTCTCAATACGATAAATCTAATAAATTAAGTTTTACAGTAAAATACATTACATTTTTAATTAATTGAAGATCAAAGCTAGTCTAATTTGACAACAAGAATGTATGTAGCAGTCTTAAAAAAATAAACAAAAGAATCATATACCTGACCCTAAACCCTTTCTAAATAACAAATTTAGAAATTAATAAACAAAAAAATAATACACATCTTAATTATAAGTACACTATTCATCAATATATTAATCTGTGTGAAAAGCAAACCAATCAACGGAATAAAAAAATTAAGAAATGTACACATACATATGATATGGATTTATTGATATGAAATCAAGATTTTAAGAATATATAATTGAAGCATACCTTTCAATTTCTAAGAAAAAAACCAAGGACATATAGAAATCTCTTAAACGACCACCAAGAAATCATCGTCACTCCTGGGACATCAAATGAAATCATCAGAAACAAGTAAAGCTGTGCAATTCAATTTTACAGTGGTCGAAGGAACTAGACGGGTAAAAAATAGAAGAAGAACACATATAATTAAGGAGAATAAAGTGACAAAAGAGAGATCTGAGTAATCGAAACTTATCTTGGATGAAAAATTAGATTTAGGTTGCAAAAAATCCACCACATATACTGTGCAAAATGAGGATTTTGAATGCGAACCAGACGATTGAGCTTAAGGGAGAAATCTCTACCTAACCCCTATGCAAGATTATCAATTTGGAAATCCGGGTATTGAGATGAATCGCGAAGAAGATGAAGGGCGATCTGTAGTGAAAACGAAGGGACAGAAGATAGACTGAGCTAGATCGCGAAGAAGAAGAATGTGGATATGTCATATGTGGTGAAAACGAAGGGACACGAGATGGAGAATTCTAGAAATGAAATGTGGTGGAGATAATAGCTGTGATGTGATCTTAATGCGGATGAGATCCGCGTTCCCTGACCGCACAAAATTTAGGGGTGTTTGGTTTTGGGGGAAGGAACTAGGAAACGGGATGGGATTCCCTCATTCTATTTGTTGTGGTTTGTTTAAAACAAAAGTGCATTCCTTTTCCTTATTTTTTGGTTTTGGATTCCCCATTTTAGGCTTTTATCATTCCTATACCTGGCAAAAAATGATCCAACCTGTTTTTGACCTAAAACTCAATCTGAAAATACTAGTTTTAAAAAAAGATTTTGATGACCAAACTCAAAGTTGACCGAACTCGTATGACCTGCTAAAAATGGGTCAAACCCGAATGAACTCGAACCCGACCTGACCGATCCGCTAAAGTAAGAATTTTTCAAAATCATACACTTTACTACTCATTTTTAGTATATATAAATTTATATTTTTAGATATAATTTTAATGATATTGCATAATTATCTTACTTTTTTCCAAAACTTAAGCCTTTTTTAAATTCCTTATATTGATTTATGTATCTAAAAATTACTTCAGAATTTAAAATAAAATAATCTAATAGATTTAATACTTTTTTTTGATATTTTAAATTTATTAAATAGAAAATGTAAGTGTTAATCTGAATTTAAAAATTAGAAAAACCAAAGTCATAATCCCTTGGATCGACCCGAACCCGATGACACTGGGTCATCAGCATAGTTCTTAACCCGAACCCGAATTAACCCCAACCTAAAATAATCCAAACTCAAAGTTACCTGCTCTGTGTCCGTATTCCCATTCCCATTATTCCCATTCACATTCCTTCTTCTACCCCTTCCCATTCTCGTTTCTTCCTCGCCGCCACACTCGGGCGCTGCAACTCCATCCTTCCCATTCCCGTTTCTTTCTCGCCGCCACACTCCTTGCAGGGCGCTGCAACTCCATCCGCCGACCGCCGCAGGTATGTTCTCTCCCTCCCTTCCTAG